GCATCAATTTACTCTCTGATTTTTACAAGGAATCAACTTCTGCGTCAATTTAGTCTGATTGTTACGAAGAATCAGTATCTGCATCAATTTACTCTCTGATTTTTACAAGGAATCAACTTCTGCGTCAATTTAGTCTGATTGTTACGAGGAATCTGTTTCTACATCATTTCAGTGTATGATTCTTTCTGAAACAATGAAGCTGGTCTTCTGTCGTCAAACTTTCATTTCAAAAATTGTCTAATATGACTTTTACATGTAATCACCATTTGTAAAAGGGCCAACTGTGGCCTATAAGCTAGTGAGCTGGTCCGTGTATCCGAGGGTCCTACGATTCACGTCACGTTGCTGTAAAATCGCGCTCCCTATATTGAGACCACGAGTGTGTTATAAGTGACGGTCAAACCCCACTATATGATGAGAGAACTCAAAAGTTGGCGATGGGTGCTGTTGTCTAGGTGCTTTGCCTATATTCTACCGGTTCAAAATTAGGGGCGGCTATGCGCATGTAGCGTTGTGTAGCTTATAAACACACACACACACACACACACACACCGTCTCTCTCTATAACTTGAAATGCGATGATTTATAAGCATGCATATATAATTACCTTGCACATACATGCTAATCATGAGATAAGTTCTAAAGGACACGTATGCAAATTCTGTCATTGGCTAATAAAAAAAACAACAACATGAAACCTTGAGTTTAGCTAAAAGGTGGTGTTATAACTTTAAAAATCTTAAAACGTAGTGTCTGTAACTTGAACTTGGATAAGACTGCATACACATATTGTAGTTACATACACGTATAAATATAAAAACGGGAAGAACTTGCTACAAAAAATCGAACATCTCTGAAACAGTGTACCTTTAACAGAAATACTATAACCTTGGTTACTTCAGCCTCTATATTAAAAACCAAATTTGTTAAAAACACCAGTTGGCCACTAAGTGGTTTAAATTTCCAAAAAAAAAAACAATCTTGAAAGACAGAACTCATATTCTAAGGTACG